TGTGCGTTGTGCAGCTTTTAAGGGAGGAAATCGTACCTGAGATTGATGAAGGTCAAAAGATTAAGAGAGGTAGAATTTCGGAAGTCGAAGAGTCGTGATGGCGGGAGAGGGCCGTGCTTGACGGATTCTTGACGGCTTTGTGGAAAACTTCAGGGTTTAAACCAAAACCACGGGATTGGTATGATAATTACGTCGGGAGAGTCCATCAAGGCTAGGGGTGCTGATTGGGAAGGGCTTTGTATCAAGACCTCCCCAAGAGGGGGTCACTAGACTTGAATCGGAACAACGTGGGTAGACCTGTTTAACGCCCTTTTCTCAACACTTTGGGGTTACATTTTTGGCAGTGGTGAAGTTTGCACGGATCTGTTCTCAAAGCAAATTTTAGCAAGCACTTTTTATACAATGACTCAATGCATTTATTAACGTTAGTTGAAATTAATCGATAATGTTTGACAAAAATTTTGGTTTTCTTCAACGTTTCACATGCAATTGACTGAATTTTGAGAAGTGCACTGCGACTAGAGGGCCCTCAGGTGTGACGCCGTCGTTCGCCGATTCGCTTCTCAGGCGCTTTTCCTTTGTGCGATTTACGCCTGACACGTTCGCCTCGGTCGTTTATCCACGCAGGCCGTGCCGATTCCTGAACAGATCAGCAAAAAAGGCCTAAGATGCTGCTGAACTAGGTTCATAGGCTCACTCACCTCTGTTTCTGATCTGACCGATTTCTCGGCTACAGGTTCGCGGCTCTTCACTGGCTTTTCTACAATACTAGATCTCTCCGACTTGAGTGTGCTCTCGCTGGACTTCTTGACAGCTGACTTTTCCGTGACATTTGGCGCAGGCTTGGTAGGTGCAGCCGCTTTGGGTGACTCCTTACTTTCTCCAAAAGTGTTGTAGAGGAAATCGAAGAACGATTTAGAAGGGGACGGCACTGACGCGTCACGAAGCCTCTCATGTTCTACGCGACTCTTGGCTTCAGCTGCTTTTTTCGCCTCCATCTGCTTCTGAAGCTGGCGATCCTGCTGCCGTTTTGTCAGAATATTTCCTCCCCAGGCTATAGGCACAAACTCAGGATGGAGGAGCATGCAGTCAAGAAGGATTCGCTTCGCCTAAATGGGCACGTTCATGAGTGCTAAATGTGTAGTTCGAGAACATTCCACACCACCTAGGCAGCTGAGCAGTGGTCCGCGTAGGAGTGCGACGCATTGTGTTCAACACATTGACGACAACGCCGGGAGCGCATGTCGTGCGCGACTTGTCTTCCCCGCACCACCACTACACACATTTTTCGCGCACACCTCATTCATTTATCAGTTTTTTTTAATATTTGTTCCACAAAGAAACCTTAGCGTAGCTAAAAACATAGTGGCCCATAGAATGGTCGCGTATGTTTCAATTCAGAGCAGGACTTCTAATCCTCAAGAAATCTTGAATCTAGTTAATTTTTCGTTTCTCTTTGTTTTTTATGAATGTGAAGATTAAATTGTAGTAAAGTGAATAGGAGCTTAAGGGATGACAGTATATGTGTTTTGTTTAAAAAAAAACAAGGTAAAATTGCTTTTGAGGTCCATTGCAACTGGGCCTAACAAATTTTGTTGTTTTCGTTGTTTCAAGTCTTTCGATCGAACACAACAATCGTAACCCTGGGTAGCTTCTGGTCACAGAACTTTAGTGATCTAGCTTTGTATCAAACAGCTCCCCAAGCACTGAGGGCGCGACACTGTCGCGACTCAAAAGTTCGAGGCACCGGCGCTAAGACCTTGCATTGTGTGCTGCCGTGCTGCCAGCGTTATCAACCACGGCATACGTGGTCTCTGCGTCCTCTCGCGTACGACGTACTATCTCGCGTTCTCCTCTCCTCGCAGCGCTGTGTCTCTCCGTCGTACTACGGCCGGCCTCCTAAGGGAAATTTAGTGTTTTCTATGGTGCTTTTTGCTTTTTCTCCTCACTAATGTTCCTCATTGCACCCCTTGCCTAATGTTTGAACAAAATAACGCATCAATTCAATCCCGACTCGTGCCTTTAAACGGCGCTAAGAGAACCGCCTGTGGGAAAAAAGTAGAGGAAATCACTCAAAATACTATGATTAGGTGTAGCCTAATCGTCGGGCGAGTTCGGCTTACATAGACCGGTGACCACTGGGCCATGGAGAGCATTGTGACGCAGGTGCGCGAGTCAGCATTTCCGCTGTGCATGTGGATTGCTGGATGCGTAGTACACACTAGGTACCGTGTGTGGCAAAGATGTACGGTGTATAGAATGAGCCGTTCTTTCTGGAGTGCTGTGTGGAGGACCACATATTCATAATAGCGTCAAGAGATTGAGACTATTTTCGGAGTCGGAACGCTCCTCAAATTGAATTCTTTTCCGCCCTTCCCTTTCCCCCCCCCCTTCATCTCGGTGAACTGGAGACTTGGGTATCCGCAAAAATGATTGAGTACGCATTAGGAGGATAAGCAAATTGAGGAGTCTGAGAAGTAGGAATAGGGGAACACCGAGAAAGATTAGTCCGTATTGCCTTTTTGGCTTTGCCTTTTTTTCTTTCTTAAAGGCACGAGTCGGGATTGAATTGATGCGTTATTTTGTTCAAACATTAGGCAAGGGGTGCAATGAGGAACATTAGTGAGGAGAAAAAGCAAAAAGCACCATAGAAAACACTAAATTTCCCTTAGGAGGCCGGCCGTAGTACGACGGAGAGACACAGCGCTGCGAGGAGAGGGAGAACGCGAGATAGTACGTTACGCGAGAGGACGCAGAGACCAGAGTCAACCCTGCGTTGCGCAGTTCTCAACGGCCACGTTGCGCAGTTTCGCCCGATTAGACACGTTCTCTCGCGCGAACATTCACACTCGCATGCTCGAGCCGTCTGCGTCTCCGCCCATACAGCGTGCGTTGAGGATCTCTCAACGTGCCGTTGCGAACTGCGCAACGCAGGGTTGACTCTGCAGAGACCACGTGTGCCGTGGTGGATTATGCTGGCAGCTCGGCGAGCAATAGCGCCATTGCCGCGCACTTTTGGGTCGCGATAGTGTCGCGCCCTCAGTGCTTGGGAGCCCACTATCGCACCCTGGGAAGAACTTCTGCTGGTTGCCTAATCCTGACTCGTGGCTTTAATTGCCAGCTGAGCGTTTCGAGAAAAATGTCAGCTAACCAAATCTAGGCTTTCTAGAGGATCCACTCCTTTGGAACAAACTCGACGACGATCAACACAGGCAACGTTTCAACTCTGCGAGTGCACTCGCTCTCGCTTCGCAAATGCAGCGCGCTGACGGAATGCTCGCGTCCGGCGTGTGTTGTGCACTTTGCTACACATTCCGATGGTTGCTTACCTTAGAGGTGTCCAGCAAGAATAATCTCAGTTCGTTATCAACGACATCTTCGAAAAGGTCTGGTCGCATCAGAAGCACTTCGATACCGTAACCAAACGCTTTATCAATAAGCATCACTATCTGAAGTATCAAATGATTCAGCAACTAGAGCGATTCCACAACAAACCTGCTGCTGAACAGACGTCACCGTTTGATTTGGCTTCGGAATTTCTGCTTCGAAGAAGTGTGCCAAGATTTTAGCCTCTTTGGGTTTCACGATTTGTTCGAGAATTTGGTTCCTCTTCATAATGGCCAAACCTCGCAGCGCCACGGCTATCTGTGCATCTGACTGAAAAACAAACTTACGGCCTAAATTCTAGTACACGAATATTTTCACCGCTGCGCAGAGCGTAACACATCTCTCTGATTCCACTAGAAACTAACGAGACGAGCATAATTTGTTTAAGTGAATCGAACCGGCTTCTCAACTTCGACCGACGATCTTCTACTCCGTTCTTCACTTGCAGACTTTTCCTCCTGAACTTCGACCAACGATCTTCTGCTCCGTTCTTCAGTCGCAGACTTTTCCTCCTGAACTGATTTTTCCTCTTCGGCAGACTTCCTCGTCTCCCTTGTAGCACCTCCTTCGCTCCAAGTGCTTCACTCGCTTGCTTAACTCGCTTACTTTCTGAAATTTCATCTCTTTGATCAGCAGGAAAAAAAGCATCCAAACCTGCTTTCAGTTTGAAGGAAGATTTCACGATAAGGTCAAAGATCGAGAAGGGGAATTATACCTAGTCGAGAGGCAAGTGGGCCTTACAAAGATGCGGAATGACGCGTTTAGCACCCAAAGGTATGCGCCAGCGGCCAGATGCTGCACGTCCAGTGATGGGTAACTCCTCGCCGTCTGACCCTAGCTTTTTAGCAGAGGGAACGTTAGCGTTGATGAGGGCAACATGAATGAGACCCGCATCAATGTGGAAATCAAGGGCGAAGAAGGAGCCCTGTTTCTTGGGTTCCAGACCAAGAAATAGGACTCCTTTCCTGCCCGTTGATTTTCTTGGGTTTGTTCTACATCCGTGCATCACTAACCACCTCCCCTTGCCTTCTAGTAGTTGCCCTTTCATTGTAAATTCCGTGTTTGAGCAGTGCTTGCAACTACGAAGTAACTAAGATCCATTTTAGCTGTTCTTTTCCCGATGGATATTCGATTCCCAAGGCATGCAGCATTTGGAGCGCCTGAGTGATGATTTTGCGTAACCAGTAACTGTACAGGGACCGGGTAGTTGAAGTAAGTAAGTAAGGGCCCAATTCAACTGCCTCGAGTTTTTGACTGCGCACCGCTGAATGTGAGCACCATAGTATCGGCAGTGTCCCATAAGTAATGCTCCAAACAAACCAACAATAACAACAACTTATAAGACCTGTTCTTTGCTGCTGAGCCTCGCCCTCAACGTCCTAATAAGCAAGGTAGCTTTGCGTTGCGCTTCCTCCAATTGGTCGACTCGTGCAAGAAGTACATGAATTTCTCGCAGAAGTTTGTCAATTTTCTCCTGAAAGAACAATCAGTTGCCACTCCCGAACAGCTTTTCGCTTTAGCGAACGAACTTGTGGTTGTCCTTGCAAGTTGGCCAGTCTTTCTATGCTCTTCGACTGAAATAGGAATTTTTGAACACTGTAAGTTTTGGATCTGATAA